GGAAAGGAAAGAGGAAAGGAAAGAGGAAAGGAAAGAGGAAAGGAAAGGAAAGAGGAAAGGAAAGGAAAGGAAAAAAAGAAAAGAAAATAGGCCCTTGAAATTCAAAACATGATAGTAAAATTGAAAACTCCATAGAAAAATTAGAAAATAAATGTAACAGTATCTGCCGGAGAGAATTTTTAAAAGATGGAAAACAAAACAAAAAAAAGAATATTGGAGAACCAATCCACGAGGCCCAACATCCAGATAACAGCAGTTCCAGAAAGATGGAACCATCAAATAAACACTTGAAGAAATTTCCCACAGTCAAGCATGGTGGTATACACCTGAAATTGTAGCACTTAGGAGGCTGATGGAGGAGGACCGCTGCAAGTCCCAGACCAGTCAGGGGTATATAGTGAATTCAAGGCCATCCTGAACTACTAAGCAAGACCCTGTCTCAAAAAGCTAAAAAAAAAAAAAAAATCCTAGAAACCAAAGTATACGGTTTGCCTAGTGTGGTAGCACATTCCTATAATCTCAGCAATTGAGTTCACTGGCAGCCTGAGCTACATAGTGAGTTCAGGGCCAGGCTGAATGACATAGTGAGACCCCATATTAAAAAAAAACCCAAATATAAAAAATAAAGCATATAGTCTAACAAACTGAAAGAGTTCAGAGAGTATCTAACCTAATGGGTGGAAATAGATCCAAATTGAGTTATTTCACTGTAAAATTTTAGATTGCTGAGAAGAAAAAGTAGATATTACAATCCTCCAAAGAGGAAAAAATGGGTCACAAGCATAATATTGTAAGTCAGAACAAATTGGGAATTAGCAATACCAAATGCTAAAAGAGCATGGAAAAATGACTCTAAATTAAAAACAAAAAAGCTGTCAACACCCAAAATGACTTGGCAAGCCAAAATGATAAATTAAATACATGGACAAAAAGGCATTTTCATACATGTAAGTCTCAAATAATGTACCTACCATGTACTCCTAAGAAGCTAGGAGAAAATTTAAAACATTGTATATACTAGAGTGCAGACAGGATGTATTATGATTTTTGTACCTGTACATGTTGGGAAAATTGAAGAAATTGTTTATTCCTTTTTAGTCCTATACATTTTAAAATTGAAATCACTTTACATTAGTTTCATTCATTCTGATATAATGCATATTTACTGCACAAATTAAAGCACTATAAAAGTATATAAGATATATTTTTTAAAATAAGCTAGCGGAGAAGTACGCCACTAAAACAAAACAGTAAGTCAGGAGAGAAAAAACACAGGATTTAGTGAACATAAAGCCCAATACAGAAGTGAGGCTAAGAAAATCTAGGAAGACAGTAAAAGTAAATATCCAGATAATCGTTGTGTACCAGATGTCCAAGAAAATCACTGCGGATTAAAATAGTGTGACTAGAAAGAGGGTCATGTAAGGTCTATCATCTCATCCCAAAGATCCCCACCATCACTGTCCCATCCTTTTTTTTTAACCTGAGGCCAGAATAACCATGTGAGGCTGGCTCAGACAGGCTGTACACGGCTGGTCATGACCAGTCTTGATCATGTGCTGCCACAGGTCTGGCATGCCTCTCCCACCAGCACTGCAGCGGCCTGGAGCAGGTGTGGACATGCTTTTCATCTCAGAGTAGTTAGCTGCAATGATCTACTGAGAGTGGGGGATGATCATGGGGAGATTAGAAACAGAAAAATCAGGGCAGCCCACACTTCATCCAACCCTATGGTTATCAGACAGCTAACTGCGGGTCCACACAACAGCCTTGCTGAAGCCTTGACTGTGCTGAGCTATGGGCTTATTTCTCTGGACTCATTCATGACCCTGTGTTCTGATTTCCTTAGAAGCAGCTTTTGTATACTCTAAGGAAGCCAAAAACAAGACAGTGACCCAGAGACTCACTTCAGCTTATCCTCCCCATCAGATTCTGCATCTGTTCTCATCAGTAGTCCCTGAGTAACCAGCTAGGGGTATATTGGCAACTTAGGTCTTCAAAATGATACAATATTTTAACTGTATAAACAAATATGAAAAAAATAAAGGAATGAGTTAACAGGAAAGTCAGGATAGATTTTGCCTATTGTGTTCAGGGAGGGGAATGCAGTTGGAAGGGACACATGGGTGGCTTCAAAGACAATGATAATGTTCTATTTCTTTTAAAAAGTAGCACTTTATTATTTTTTATATTGTACACATAAATTTACTATGTTGAGTTACATTTCACAATAACACAATTTAAGTAAAGAGTAAAGGAGAAAATAAGAGGAAAGAAAGCACTGAGAATGAGGAAAGAATCGACCCTCATACCACTAAGGGATGGCAGAAAGAGTAGCTAAGATTTACTTACCATTTCATATGCTACTTCCTCAGGTGTATCTGTTTCTAAATTGAAACTGAATTCAATAGCTTCATTGTCTTTGTGTTTTCCTTTCAATTTTTTAGGATCTTCAACCCAGAGTCTCAAAGCCAGGGATGAATTTGAGCAATCATCTTCCTCTGCTAACTCCACTCTCAGTCCTGTATCCTCAGCAAAAAATGCGTGGTTTAGTAGGTCCCTGATAGACAACCTAATAAGATATAAACCTTGTTATTAGTTTTTCCAATCATAAGCAAGATGCAAATCCTTTAATTAGTAATAATTGTATCAAACAAACAACCTTATTTTAAATCTGTCTTATTATAAAAACTAAATCTTATATCCAACTTACTACTAGGGATACCAAGAAATCCCAATGAGGGCTGGGGATATAGCTCAGCAGCGCCTGCCTGGCAAGCGTGAGGCTGTGAGTTCTATTCCTGGTATCAAAAAAAAAGGGAAGGGAGAGGGAGAAGGGGAGAGGGAGAACGGGAGCAGAAAGGGGAGGGGGACGGGAGGGAAGAAAAGAAAGGAAGAAATCTCAATGAAGTAATTCATCTAGATAATGAAATTTAACATATATAAAAGTATACCTAAAGAGACCTGGAGAAGTACTATCATACATATCAGGTACACTGGTTAAGTTTCTCTAAGCCACTTAAGTTAGTAATACTCAAAAGATTCCCAGCAAAGGAAAGTAAAAACTGTCCCAGATATAAAAACTAAATTAGAAATTCAAACTCTTTTACAAATATTTTAAATATGTCACTGACTTTGCTAACAATAATCCAGTCAATGTACTTCACTCATTAGAAGGATGGCACAGGTGAAGCTAAGGTGGTTCAGCAAAGTACAGTTGTTTTCTTAAAGTATTTAACATTGGTTTTAGGCCATAGTAAACATATAATGAATACAACCCTAGCTTCATATCAGAGATTAATCATCTCTGAAGAAAAAAGTACAAGAGGTCATAAGAATCTTTTATAAGCTAATGCAGTTAATTTATTTTTCTTTTATAAGACATGTAATATGTATCTGTATTACAGACCAGTGGAGCTGAAATTGTTATTTTCCATTATGTCTATGTAGAGAGCCCCTCCTATGCTACTTAAAACAGAAAAAGCACGTGTATAGCATGATGTCCTGTAAGTGGAGGATATTCAGTCCTTGACATTTTTAGTGATCAAAAGGTACATACTTAACTAAGGCAGTTATTAAAAATAAGCTTGTTTGAAGTAATTATTTTAATACTAAAGTAAAATGTGTTTAGCCCTGTGGCTTTCAATGAAAATTTTGTCTAAGCATTTTCAGTCAGGAATACAGAGTGTGATCAAAATATATGGGGAATGTGTAATTTTTAAATTGTATTAAAGTAAAAGACATATTGCCATTAATCCCACTCAAAATACTCCCTCCCACTTCAAACACATTTATCCTGTCACTCTTGCCACTTTTTGAAGCAGTTCTGAATGGCCTCTTTTGTGTCTTCAGAAGGTGTCACAAAAATATGGCAACACTTGCTAAGTGCCATTCAATGGAAAGGCAGGCTCATAACAATCTTACCTTATTCATTGAATCTGGCACTGTGCAACTTCTGGCTCTTCCTCAGTGTCAAAAATGACTATGAAACATTTTGAATCAATTTATGACATCAAGGCAACTAAACGAACTAAAGGCACTTGTGAAAGACTTCCAGAATTACTTAACAAGGGGCAGGAATGATGAGATAAGTGTGTTCAAAGTATACTCTGAGGGGGGGGTTAATGATAATATGTCTTTTACTATAAATTTTTTTAAAAATTTAAACATTCATTATATTATCTGATCACAATATATAAGTATGGCAGTAGTAGCAGAAAATGTAATTTACTGAAAAATTCTTACTGTTAGGTATATGTATATATCCTTTTAGTCATCAAAATATTACTTATTGTAAGGAACAACTGAGTAACTTGCTCAAGCTAAAAGTGAGTCTACATTTGAATCTTAAGTCTGGCATTGAGGACTATGCTTTTTCAATACATTAATAATGTTATTTAGTAACACATCATAATTATCAAGTAATATAGACAACAATCAGAATCTAAATGAAACAGCTACTTCAACACAGTACTTTTAGCCTCAATTTAAAAAGCAAGTCCATAGCTCAGTGGCACAAGCACAAGGTCCTGAGTTTGATTCCTGGTACCAAAAAACAAAAAAAAAAGCATCTGAGAGTGTAGCTCAATGGTAGTGTACACTCTTAGCATATGCCGTGCCCTGGGTTCAATCCCCAGTACCAAAAAGAAAAAAAGCATGTTTAAAGTCTTATGACTTGAGCCAGGTGTAATGGCACATGCCTGTAATCCAAAAATTGGGAAGCTAAGACAGGAGGATTGCTGCAAGTTTGAGATCAGCCTGGGCTACAAAGTGAGTTCAAGTCCAGCTTGAACTACATAATGAAACCCTGTCTCAAAAAGACCAAAAAAAAATCTCATAATTCAATGACAACAACAACAACAAAAAGAACCCACTTAACAATCGGCAGCAGTAAGGGCTAAAGATATAGCTCAGTAGTAGAGGAATTGCCTAGCACATGCAAGGCCATGGATTTGATCCCTACTATAGGGGAAAAAATTACAAAAATGGGCAAAGCACTTAAAGATTTCTCCCTAGATACATAAATGGCCAATAAGCACATAAAAACATACTCTATATAAATAGTTATTAGAGAAACGTAAATCAAAACCACAAGGAGATATACTATTACACCCATTAGGATGGCTATTATCAAAAATCAGAAAATAGCAAGTGTTGAAGCTGGAAGCAATGGAGCACATCTGTAGTCCCAGGTATTTCAGAGGCAGGGGCAGGAAGATACCAAATCCAAGGACAGCCTAGGCAACTTAGTGAGATCCTTATTAAAAAGAAAAAAATTAAAAGGGTTTGGGCCAGGGATATAGCTCAGCAGCAGAGTGCCTGCCCAGCAAGCACAAGGTCCTGAGTTTGATTCCCTATACAAAAAAAGGGGGGCCTGTAACTCAGTGGTAGACTACTTGCCTAGCACATGTGAGGTCCTGGGTTCAATCTCCAATATAGTAAAAAGGAAAAACAAAACAAGTGTTGATGAAAATGTTGAGATAGTACAATCTTCACACATTGCTGGTGGGAATGGAAAATGTTACATATATCTGTGGTAGAACATTCGGTGGTTCTTCAAAAAGTTAAACATCAGAAAATGGAAAGATATTTCATTTTCCTTGATAGGGAGAACCAATACTGTCAAAATAGGCATGCTTCTGAAACTGATATACAGACTTAATGCAATGCCAATCAAAATACCAACAACATTCTTTACAGAACTGAGAAAACAATCCTAAAATTCATAAATAACGAAAATAGATAGCAAAAGCAATCCTGGGTAACAAGGCAAAGCAGGAGGCATCACAATCCTGGAGCTGAAGTTATATTACAAAGCTACAGTGACAAAAACAGCATGGTACTGGCATAAAAACAGACATGAAGATCAATGGAACAGAAAAGATGATACAAAACAATCTCAAACACATTAAACTATTGATCTTTGGCAAAGAGGCCAAAAGCATATACTGGAGGAAAGATAGCCTCTTTAATAGTGTTGGGAAATCTTGCCACCCACTTGCACAAAATTGAATCTATACCTATCTCATTCACCATGTACTGCATCAAAGAAGTAAATATTAAAACAGAAACATTTTAGTCTCCTAGAAGATAAAACAGATAAAACTCTTGAGGTCACAGACATAGGAAAGAACTTTCTGAACAGAACCCTACTTGCTCAGAAAACCAAAATAAAAGATGGAATAAAAAAATGGGCAAGTTAAATGAATAGATACTTCACAGGAGAATTACAAATGGCTAAAAAATACATGGATAAATGCTCAACATCACTACCCGTTAGAGGAATGAAAATTAAAACACTGACTTTCCATCTTACACCATAAAGAATGGCTATCATCAAGAAATCAAATAATAACCAATGTGAGGCTGCAGGGAAGAAGGAACCTTCTACATTGTTGGTTGGAATGTAAACTAGTACAACCACTATGGAAATTAGTAAGAGATTGCTCAAAAAACTAAAACTAGAAATTCTATTTGAGCCAGCAGGTCCCCCTCTAGGTTCCCAAAAGAGTTCCAGGTATTTTCCCAAATGAGTTAAACACATCATATTATGGTGACACATGCTTATAGCAGCACAGTTTATAATAGCTAAATACTGGATGCAGTCTATAGGTCAATCAAGGAATGGATGATTGGATAAAGAAAATGTGGTATTTACATAATATACAGTATTATTCTGCCACAAAGAAGGATAAATTTGAGTCTTCCATAGAAAAATGGATACACCTTGAAACTACAATGTTAAGTTAAATAAACTAGATACACAGGTTTAAACATTACATGGTTTCTGTTGTATGAGAAACCTATATTATAAATAAAAATAAAAGAAAAGATAGATAATAACAAGTAGGGAGATAGATCTTTCTCAAATGGGAAAGGGATCAAGAGATGGATAAGGGAAGAAAAGGGGATAAAAGGAAGCAGGATGTGCTATACATATGTACTAAGTCAACACAAGGAATTGTAAACATTACATACTACAAACTTGTACTAATAAAAAAAAGTTAAACATAGTATTTTTATATGGTCCCATAATTCTATCCTTAGGTATATACCCAAAAGATCTGAGAGCAGAGACTCAAACAGATAGATACTCATAACAAAACTCATGCAGCATTTATCACAATAGCCAAAAGATGAAAGTAACCTAAGTGTACATCAACAATGAATGTATGAACAAAATGTGGTAGATACATACAATGAGATACTATTCAACCTGAAATAGGAAAGAAAACTAGCTGGGTGTGGTGGTGCACACCTATAATCCCATCACTCAGGAGGCTGAGGCAGAAGAGTCACAGTGAGTTCAAGGCAAACCTGGGTTACATAAGCAATTTCAAGGACAGCCTGCACTACATAGCAAGGCCCAGTCTCAAACAAAACAAAACATTAGTAACAGCAATGCCATGAAGAGTGGCCCAGCAGCCTAACATCGTCACTGGTGCATGTGGGAGCAGTCCAAGCAGTGGTGGTACACTGTTTCCCAAGGGGCCCCACAGAGCCAGTAGGTAAAATCAATCTACTAAGGGAAAAGTCACTGTATACAAGTTCATAGTATATTTTGTTTTTTTTTGTTTGTTTGTTTTTTTCCGGTACCGGGAATCAAACTCACGACCTTGCGCTTGCCAGGCAGGCGCTGTGCCACTGAGCTACATCCCCAGCCCCTTGTAGTATATTTTGGACTGTGTGATATAACTGTACAGCTTTCTCCTATGGTTACAGGTACCAAATTAATAGTTACCACAGTTGCTATGCTCTGCTTGATGCTCTAGTTATGGCAAGCTATACTACATTAGCCAGGATATCATACATATTGTAATCATTTCTTCTCCCTTGTATGACAACATGGTGATTGTCTGCGGGAATAACCATCACCATAGTCCAGTACCAAAGAACTGGGTGCAGAGCCAAATAGATAGCAAGCTCTCATCCTGAATAAACTGGAAAAGTAAGTTCTTAGGACAGCCACAAAGACCAAGAACCATCTACACCTAGAAGACATCTTTGAGGCTAAGACATTTCCTAGGGAAGCTTCAATGCTAATGATAAAGCTATCTACCATAAGACATGTACAAGCACCAACATAGAAAATAAAAGAAAACAGAAAATGACAAGATGCAGAACCAAAATGCAACCCTAGACCTTGAGCCCACCCAGGACAAGTTCAGAGCACAATAAAATAAAACAAATTACAGGCCACACAATGGAACTTTCTGAAGTGATAGCAGGAGAAGTGGAAAAAACAACTGGATGTGGCTATTGAAAAAATAATATCTCAAGTAAAAAAAAAAAAAAAAGAAATGATGCTCAAAATGAAAAACATGCCCAAAGAATCTAGAGTAGACACATAAAAAAATAGAGAAGCTTACGAAAACAACGGAAACCATGAATGCCCAACACAGGAAAGAAATGGAAGCCATGAAACAGATCCAAACAGATACCCAGAAGATTAAAAATTCCATTTACAGTATACACAATAGACTGAACAAAAGCAAAGATAGAAAATAACATCTAGAACACATGATTGTGGCTAGCACCCATGAAAAGAAAGATGCCTTAAAAATAGCAAAGGACCATGAAAAATCAATCCAACAGCTGCAAGATGAAGCAAAGAAGAACAACATAAAATTGACCAGAGTCAGTGAGGAAGTGGGACATTGTGCAAACTATAAAGAAGCTATTTGCACATAAGTAATTGCAGAAAACTCCCCCAACAGGCATAAAGAACTTGACATAAAATAAGCAAGGTATATATAACTCCAAATAGCCACAACCAAAATGAACCTACACAAAGCCATATAATAATCAATATTCCAGAAATTTAGCACAAGAAGAGAATAATAAAAGTGGTTAGAGAAAACAAGCAAGTCACGTATAAAGGAAAAACCATTAGAATCACAGCAGACTTCTCAACACCAACCAGAAAGTCAAGGAGAGATTGAGATGAAGTATTTCAAGCCCTAAAAGAAAACAACATCCAACCCAGGTTGATTTAACCTGCACAATTATATTTCAAAATCAATGAAGAAATAATATACTCCCATGACAAAGAACAACTGAAGTAATCCATGACAACCAAGCCAGCTCTCCAAACTGCTCTTAAGGACATTCTAGAAAGAGATAAGAATGACCATATTTCCAAGAACACTAATGGAAAGAAGCTAGCAGATAGGGCAAGCAATTAAATGGAAGGGAATGACAGGGTACCACCAATAAGAAAATAATATGAGAAAGATGAGCTAATACATATTAGTTATAACCATCAATGTAAATGGTCTCAAATCATCAATCAAAAGAAACAGACTGGCAAAATGGATCAATAAGCAAGATCCAGCAATATGCTGCACATAACAAACACACTTAACCCAAAAGAAAAAGACTGGGCTGGGACTATAGATCGGTGGTAGAGTGCTTCCCTAGGATGCAAAAGTCCTGAGTTCAATCTCCAGTACCACCAAAAAAAAAAAAAAATTCGTAGACTGAAAGTCAAAGGATGGAAAACAATACTCAGGTGAGAGGAACTCAGAATAAATCAACAGTGGCTATTCTATTTACAGAAAATATGAACTTCAAGGCAAGACTAATCAAAAGACACAAAGAAGGTCACTACATACTTGTTAAGGGAACACTCCAAAAAGAAGTAATAATAATCATAAATATATGTGCACCAAATACCAGTGCACCCAACTACATAAAACAAACATTAATGTACAAATTCTCTATGATGAATGTGATCATTATGTATATCTAAAATGTACCAATAAAACTTGATTGGACAAATAAATAAATAAAAGGAGTTGTCATAAGAAAAACACAAATGATGATACAAAAATATAAATTCCTACTTAAAAATATCCATATTAGCTTTACCACTACTGTGATACACAAATACATGGTCAAATAAAATACATCTACTTTAAACTCTTAACAATCAAGTTAGGGCTGGGGATTTAGTTCAGTGGCACAAGTGCCTGCCTGGCAAGCACAAGGTCCTGAGTTCAATTCCTGGTAGCAAAAGAAATAATAAAAAAAAAACGATCGTTACCTAGTAGGGTTCAACTGACTGTTAAATTGATGGTTAAAGGTGATAAAAGCTTGTCACGACATACACCCCCCCTACCCGCTGCCACACACACACCCTGTAAATGTCACCATAAGGAAAATTCAGCACATGGTATCACCATCTAAATGGCAAACAACATACACGGATACACTTCATTCTAGACTGTATGATTTGCCTTCTACTCAAGTCATACCCAGCATGACTAAAATGTCAGAAAATGACCCAGTGTGGGACTGGGGGTTTAGCTCAGTGGTTCAGTGCCTGCCTGGCAAGTATGAGCTCCTGAGTTTGATTCCCAGTACACCCTCAACAATAGGAAAAAAAAAAGACCCAGTGTGAGATAAGAGGAAAAATGCATCTATCAATTATGCCATTTAACTTTGTTTGCACCCACCTTTCAGATTTATTTTGACGAATACATCCTTCAATGATTTCTTTTACTTCAGGATCAGTGACTTTATTGAAGCTGGCTGGTTTTATGCCCTAGGAAAAGAAAAATGGTTTCTTGCTACAAATTAAACAATTAAAAGCCCAGATCAACATGACACTCATTAAATACTTTTTTTAATCCCCAAACCACATTGAAGTTTTGTACATACAGTATAACTTTAGTAACACTGTGAAAGATTTTTTTGTCATAGCCCTACAGATAAAAGTGAAAAATTATAATGTAAACCTACAAGGCGAACTTATACATTATGTTTTTATGTAAATAGAATCTAAAAATGTTCTCAAAGTAATTAATGACATGGGGGAATTCTCAGAATATAATATCAAGTAGGGAAAAAGTAGGATCCTAACATATACATACAGTAAAATCTCAACTAGAAAAATAATATCCCAATACAATATATTCCACTCTTCTAAAATGGTTAGAAGCAAAGAACAAGCATACCTATATATCTACATATGCATGTATAAAAAAATATACACATAATGAAAACATTTGAAAAATCCATATTATTTTATCCTTAAATAATACTAACATATCAAAAGAACCTACCTCATGCTAATTACCAGGTTCTAGAAATTTAATAACAAATTAATGCAGTTCAGACAATTCATAATGTTCCTATGATAACTGAGTTACCTGCCTAAATCTGCTTGTTTTACACTGTTTTACCTTTTAGTTTGAGTGTTAGATTTTAAAAAAGAATCAATTATTATTATAATCATTTAATAGAAAATTCCTAATTAAGCTGGAAGCGGAAAGGTATACTACAATACTTGTCATGGATTGAGGCAATCTAAGATCCACTTCTAGGCCTGTCACACTACCTAAGTGTAGACAGAATTGAAAAGTTCAGTATCATATGTTAGATAGAGAAGCTGTAAGAGCAAAGGAAATGTGAATTGTGATATGGCATTTTTGTCATTTTAACATAAAATAATATCATCATTGAAGAATGGAGTTATATAATTGTATTTATAGGAAAAGTTTGCTTTGAAATGTAGAATAAAATCTGATTGGAGAAAAAAAAACCCAGAAAGCTCTCTTTGACCTTTCTACTGACCTTGTACCCATTTTTGACCACTGTGTGCCTTTTTCTGCTGCTAAATGAAAATAACTAGAGAATTATAACTTACAAATTACATACAAAATACCATTCTATTTAGAGCTATTCAAAATATAAACCCAAACTTAAAAAGACATTTTAGCTCTTTTTTCTGCACTCATTTACTCATTCATTCATTCATTTCGGTGGTACTGGTGATTGAACTCATGGTCTTCACACTGAGCTACATCCTCATCTCCTTTACAGTTTTTTATTTTGAGATGGAGGGGTCTCAATAAATTGCTGAATTCCCCAAGCAAGGCTTTAACTCGCAACCCTCCTGCCTCAGCATCCCACAGTACTGGCATGGACAACTAATTTCAAATTTTTTCCTGAGCTTTTATAGCAATTTGAAAATATACAGTACTAAAAAGTAGAATAATAAGCTACGTGCAGTGGCACACTCTGGGAGGCTGAGGCGAGAGGGTCACAATTTCACTCAACCAGGGTAACGTAAGGAGATCCTATCTTGAAATAAAAATTAAAAAGAAAAGGTGGGCTAAGCGTGTGGTCCATTGCAAAGGCCCTAGGTTCAATCCTCAGTGCCGCAAAAAAAGTAGAATAGTATAATTAAGCCTAACATAAACACCACCATCTTCAGTGATAAAGATTAGGGTGTCAATCTTGTTTCAGCTATCTATCTGCAGGTCTTTTGTATTCTGGGGTATTTTAAGGCAAATCTAAGGTATTGTGTCCCTTCATCCATAAATTTTTCAGTTTTACATCTCTAATAAATAAGGACCTTTTTAAACAGAATCATGTAATTATCCCACCTAAAATGATCATGAGTAGTCTCTTAATATCTCATATACAATCCACACTCAAATTTTCAAAACTGCTTAAATGATATCTTTTTATAATTGGTTTGTTCAAAATCAGGATCCTAACAAGGTCCATGTGCTAGGGTGGCTCATAGTAACTCATAAGAGATTAAATTTTCAGGAACTTTAAAAGCCAATCATTAAACACAATCACTTCTTAAAAACTGAATTATGTAAACCTACAACTAAATAAATTATACTAAACGACAAGGCAAGCTGGGCACGGTGTTGCACACCTGTAATCCCAGCACTTGGGAGGCTGAAGCAGGAGGATCATTGTGAGTTTAAGACCAGCCTGGGCTACAAAGTGAGCTCAAGGCTAGCCTGAACTGCATAGCAATACCCTGTCTCAAAAAGACAAAAAAAAAAAGACAAGGCAATAAATACTGAAAACATCACTTCTTATTTTACCATTATTCATGCATTTGAGGTTATTTACAACTATTATACATGTGTGGTGGAAATAGCATATAAAGAGTGCCACTGCACATCCCTTCCCAACTCTGCTGTGTGGTCACACCAGTAACTTGACATCAACCATAGCAGGAGTATTTACACCACAAAAAAAATCACTAAATACTAAGAATCAGTGCTTTATTTTTCAGAGATTCGGCTGTTAAACATTTAGCAGCTCAAAAATACTTCTTAGTCTCATAATGTATAAAAGACCCCCTGCCCTTTTGCAAGAAATTATTTTGTTAGAGAACTAGGTCATCTGTCCGACATAATGTCCCACATTATGGATCCTGTTATACCTCATTGTCTTTCTTTACAAACCACTAGAATCAGACGGCTTTAACGTCAAAATCCACCATTATGAATAACTTTGGGAAGTTGGCCAAATCACAATGTCTGATTGTGACTTATCATTTATAAACTAAAGATTATACCTTTCTTGGAGGGATTAAAGACTCATGTATGTGGTTTACCCCATGCATTAAAAATGGCACTCCTGCTGGGTGTGGTGGTGCACACCTGTAATCTCATCACTAGGGAGGCTGGGGCAGGAGGATCACTACAAGCTTGAGATCAGCTTCAGCTACATAGTGAGCTCAAGACCAACCTGAACTACACAGTGAGATCCTACCTCACAAAAAAGGTACCCCTTCATACCTGTTATAATGTCTATTATAAAAAAAGATAAAAGGTAAGTATTGGTGAGGGTGTAAAGAAAAGGGAATGAACCCTTGATGAGACACAGTGATAGAGCAACTGCCTCAAAAATGGAACACTTATACACTGTTGGTGGAAACATAAATTAATATAATTATTAGGATAAGGTATGGGGAGTCCTCAAAAACAAACAAAAATCCCCCCATTGAAAACAGAACTACTGATACAAAACAACTACTGTATATATATCCAAAGGAACTGAAATCCACATGTTGAAGAGATATCTAATTCCCATGAAGTTTATGGCAGCACCATTCACAACAGTCAGATACAGGAACAACTTAAGTATCCATCAATGGATTAATGGAGAAAAAAATATGGCATTTGGCATACAGTACTATTCAGCCTTTAAAAAGAAGAAATTCTGTAATTTGCAACTACATGGATGAACTTAAGAGGATATTATGCTATGGAAAAGGAGCAGGCACAAGAAGATAGATATCATAGGATCTCACTTCTATGTAAAATCTAAAAAAGAATCAAACTCAGCAGTAGAAAAGAGAATGATGGTTACCAGAGGCAGGGGAGGGATACGTGCAATAGGAAATCATTAGTCAAAGGGTACAAGTTGTAATTAGACGAGAAATAAGTTTAGTATGTATTGTACAACAGAGTGACTATAGTCAATATTAATATAATCTATATTCAACACAACTTAGAAAGCAACTTTCTAACGTCTCAAAACAAAAGATGATTAGTAAATGAGGTGATGGATGTTAACTAGCTTGATTTAATCATTCCACATTGTGTGTGCAGATCAAAATATCACCTTGTATCCCATAAATTTTTACAGTTTTAATTGGTATATTTAAAGTAATATTAATTTTAAAGAGATTTTTAAAACATTACCTATTAATGATAGCCACCTAAAATGCTAACAATTTCTTTCATGGCATATCTTTGACCATTAAACTCTATATGACATAGTCCTTTAAACAAAAATAATGCTCTACTTCTACAGTTTGTACTCATTTATAAATTTATGTCATTTCTCTACTAGCAATGTAAGCTCTACTTCTTATTCATCTTTGCATTCCTTATAATTTCTTCGATTTTTATTTTTATTTTTTAATTGATTTAAAAAATTTTTTTGGTATTTCTGAGATGGGGTCTCTTACTATACAGTCCAAGTTGGCCTTGAACTCACTATGTAGCCCAGGCTGGCACTAAACTTGAGGTGATCCTCATGTTTCAACCTCCTGGGTGCTGGGATTATAGGTGTGCACCACCAGGCCCAGCTAATTTTTATTAGTACATGTTCGCAGTATATAATGATTACATTCATCATAGGAAGTCGGTACATGTACATAACACATCTTAATTCGTTCTACTTCCCTTTGCCCTCCTCCCACCACTCCTCCCCCCATCTCTTGGTCCCCTGCCCATCTAAAAAAGGTCTATCTCCCTCCTTGTAACTTCTAACACACAAAAAAAAAACTCTTAGCAGTGGCTCAAATATAAGGTATAATCAAAATATACAGTTAATGTTTAAAACTTTTAAAAAATATCGTAGGAAAAGAGACATTTGAATTAATCCCCCTCAAAATACTCTTGCTTTGAACATACTTATCCTATCATTAATGTCACTTTTTGAAGCAGTTCTAGACGTCCTCATTCCTGAGCATATTTATGAGTATGATAAAAAATTCAGTGAATACTGTTGCCAAGTACCATTCAATGAAAATGAACATTTGTAAAAACACTATTTACTGTGTGTCTTTATCTGTCTTACTTACCAGATCTAGTACAGTGCAACATCTAGCTCTTCCCAAAAGTCAAAATGACCATGAAACATAAATATTTTAATTGATTCAGGATAGTGAGGCAGCCACAATGCAACTAACTAAAGGCACTCATGAAAGAGGACTTCCAGAATTGCTTCAGAAAGTGGTAAGGATGATGGGATAAGCATATTCAAAGCAATGGGAAATATTGTGAGAGAGATTAATAGCAATGTATCCTTTACTGTAATAACTTTTTAAAGTATTCACTGTAGTTTTCAATTGTGTGTGTATACAGAATTATATTTTGAATGACCTCTCATAATCAGGATTTTAGACCTATTAGAAACCTTCAAAGCCTTTAAGTCAATCCCTAGTATTCAGCTTTGAAAAATAAGGATAGTCAACTAAATATCTAAAAATTCACTAGAAATAAATACAGATGGTATATCTGTATGTTTTCCCCAAAACACTAATACGGAGCATTTTAAATGACCCACCACAGGGCAGGTAATATAGTATAAAGCTTGTCTCATTACAAATGTTAAATCGTTACTGTTATATAAAATTAAACCAAAATTAAGGGGATTTTGTGGGGTTTTTTTCTTCTTTCTTCCCTTTCTTTGCAGCCTTACACATGATAGACAAGGTACCACTTAACAAGTCCCCAAATTAGGTTTTACTAAATCAGTTTTACCAACTTCAACAAGAAATGTGGCCATTTGTGAAGTAAAAACAATAAAATTATACCTACACTGGTTACTTTACGGTATATTTGAGCTGCATTCTGGCACTCAGAATAAGGGTACTCTGAAGTAGCCATTTCTAGCATACACATTCCAAAAGCATAGACATCAACGGATTCATCGTAGTGCTCTTCATACATCTCTGGAGCCATAAACTCAGGAGTTCCTATAAAATAATTTCATTAGAGAGAGACATACATCCACCAAGATTCTTTTCCCACACAATACCTGTGTTAATTTCTAAGTATAAAATTTGTATTATTTATACAAAACACTTAAAGAATTTCCATAACTCTCATATTAATGAAGTACAATTTGTAATGCTCAATATAAGGTTACAAATGTTTTCACTTCTATCAATTTTAGTTCACATTTTTCTGAATTAATTTAGTAAATTCTCCTCCTTAAATCCTTAGAACTTTTCAGTAACCCTAAATATATCCCTCAAAACAAATACACTAACATGTCTCTGAAATAAGTGAATACAAGGTATTTCCAAACATATTCAGTCTAGGCCAGGGGTTCATAGATTTTTCTGTGAAGAAATAAAGTAAATATTTTGTACTCCACAGTCCACAATATCTTTGTCACAGAACTATTCAACTCTATAGTGCAAAAGCAGTCATAGACAATCCATAAATGAGTGGATATGGCTGTGTTCCAGTAAAACTTGATTTACAGAAATAGGCATTGGGCTAAATTTGACCCAAGAGCCATAGTTAACTGATTCCTGTTCTAGAACTATACAACAGATATACCCAAGCAGTAAACTATAAAGTGTTAATCACCAATGACACTCTTAGCAAATGACGTGCGCATTAAGGTGGCCAGTCCTAGATCACCAATCTTCACAGATCCAGTGGGTCCTGTGATGAAAATATTGTCACACTTCAGATCTCGGTGAATAATAGGAGGAGTCCTAGTGTGCAGGAACTGCAATCCCTTTAAAATTTGCCTGCACCAGCTCCTTAAGACCTTTGGTTTCATGACTTTAAATCGTTTTAAGTACCTATACAAAGAAACAGAAGACCATATATAAACAAATATTTCCATCTTATTGTATGAACATTATTAGGGAAAATCACATATGCAAGCTGAAATTTTACATACTATGATTACCAGCCCTAAGTTTTCTATTGTCTATTATGGCAAAAAAAATTTTAAACTTAACACCCCATTCTCAGATAAACGTCCAAATTTTTTGTGACAGGGAGGCTCAACTTCAGTCTAACATATCTCAAGCTCTTAATAAAGTAGTCTGACCTTTCCCAAAAAAGACATGCTATCAAGTATAGCCCTTTGTTTGTTTTTGGTAGTTCTGGGGATGAACTCAGGACCTCATGTATATTAGGCAAGTATATCACTCCACTGAGTTAGATCCCCACCCTATTTTTTAAAAAACTTCCAGTACTGGGGGAATCAAACTCAGGAGCACTCTATTACCAAGCAATATCCACAGCCTTTTTAATTTATTTCTTAATTTTAAGATAGGGTATCACTAAGTTGCCTGGGATGGCCTCAAACTTGCAATCTTCCTGGCACACCAGCCTGAGCAGCTGAGATTACAGATGTGTGAGCCACTGTACCTGGGAAATACAGCATTTTTAATCCATACCAGTGACCTTTTGGAATAAAAGTACAATTTAAAAGGGAAAGTCCTGGGCTGGGGATATAGCTGAGCAGCACAAGTGCCTGCCTAGCAAGCACAGGATTCTAAGTTTGATTCCCAGTACCAAAAAAAAAAAGTCCTGATTTACTTCCTAATAATTACCCATATATAGTCATGACAGGGGCTTACTATATAAAATGTAGCACAAAACTGCTAGGAAACAAAAAGTATATCCCATAGTCAATTATTTACAACTCACTATACTATCAAATGAGGAATTGTGACCAGAAGCAAAAGACTACAATTATATAGTATTGCTTACTAGATCTGCGAATTTGGACAACCTCTACCTATTCATTTCTTTTATGAGATGAAACTACAATGATTTCCAATTCTTTTTTTTTTTTTTTTTTGGTTTTTCTCCGGTACCAGGAACCGAACTCACGACCTTGTGCTTGCCAGGCAGACGCTTTGCCGCCGAGCTAAATCCCCAGCCCCCCCCCCTTTTTTTTTTTGGTTTTTCTCCGGTACCAGGAACCGAACCCACGACCTTGTGCTTGCCAGGCAGGTGCTTTGCCGCTGAGCTAAATCCCCAGCCCTATGATTTCCAATTCTGAAATTCAATGGTATGTCACAGATATTAAAGTTTTAGTACTATAACAAATTTCATTAACATCCTTTTTTGTGGTACTAGGGCAATGGTGGTGAACCTATGGCACATGTGTCACAGCCGGCTGTATCACTGAAAGCTCTAAAAGGTTCACCATCACTGTTTTAGAGGCCTTTTCAATACGCTACATCCCCGTTCCCATCCCCTTTTTATATTTCTGAGAAAGGGTCTTGCTACATTGCCAAGTTTTTCAAGCTAGACTTGAGCTTGTGATCTTACCACCTCAGCCTCCCAGAGTGCTGGGATTACAGAGTGTACCACTTCAGCCAGTTAGCACTCTAAATTTTTAACCTACCCTGAAATAAATTCTATAAATTCTTTAATCAAGTATTAGTTTATAAATAACTTTTATGACTCCTGAAAATTATTTCCAAATAAAACTTCATTGGCACTAACATGATCAACTTACGTCTTCAAGGTTCCTGACGTCATTAGTTCAGTCACTAATACAATGCATTTTTTTCCTTTTAAGATAGACTCCCAAGAATCATAAAATCGAACTATATTGGGATGCTGGAGACCTTTCAACATCTCTGCTTCTTCCTTGAACCTTTGCTGCTCAGCTTTGGTTAACTTTCGGTCCTAAAAATGGGAAGAATAAGTTTCAAATTAAAGTTTTACAAATTTTCATACACATTTCTAACACCAGTCAACTGAGTGCTTTATTGTATATATGCATGCATTTTCATTTGTCATTTCTTTCTTTGGAATCTAGGCAATGACTGGTATCCTTTATTAGATAGTTACTTTGACTCTCCCTACCAGGCAACGCAGCAGGTTAACACTTCATTAAGTATGTTATAAACCTTCCTACACAATACATCAGTACACTTCAGGAGTGGGGGATGTACCTCTTGCCTAGCATTGTCAGGCTGTGGGATCAATCCTCAGATCATAAAAGAAAAAATCAATACCTCAAAAAACATCTCAAAATGAATTGAGAAAAAGTAATAAAACAGGTAACAGGGATCCTTCCCTAAGGAATCTCCAAGTTTCATATATAAGAGATCTATAAAGTCAGGGCAAGGATAATCAAAATGTAAGACACCTGAACATTTATTCTGGTTTACTTTCAGAACTGCCAAAATAAAAGGGCTCTAGCTTTCCAGACAGAAATATCAGGCTAGTAATCAATGAAAGACCTTCAAATACGCACTGGACCCCTAACATACTATATTAAATGCTAGAAGTCAAAGGAGAAATGTCTACAGAACTCTGAGGAAGGACTGTGACCTAAAATTCTGAATTCAGACAAGCTATCAATAAAGTTCAAAGGGGAAAAACACCTATATTTCCAGATAATAGGGACAGAGAAAAGTATACCAATCCCATATACTGCCTGAAAATTACTCAAAGAAGTTCAATAACCATATAGCATTAGAAAACACAGACATTAGGGATATAGCTCAGCAGCATAAGCGCTTGCCTGGCAAGCACAAGGTCCCGAGTTCGATTCCTCGTACAGAAAATACAGTCATCTCTGCTTCCCATCACCATGACATGAGCTGTTTCACCTCTGCAGTGCCCCTCTACCATGCTGATCTGCCTTGGAACAAGCCAACTATGGACTGAAACTTCTACAAAATAAACCTTTCCTCTTTAGGAAAAAAAATATATAAACATTAGAAAAATAAGATGTTAGGCTGGGCATGGTGATGGTAACCTACAGCCCCTACTACTTAGGAGGCTAAGGCAGGAAGATCATTTCAGCCCATGAGTGTGAACCACACTAGGCAACACAACAAAATCATATCTCAAGAGAACTGGGATGAGGGAAAGAAGAAAAGAAAGGAAGAAAGAAGGAAGGGAAATATATATAAACACACACACAAGATAGCTAAGATAATTGTACTACTAATTTCTATTGGTTTATTGAAAGGAATATTTAATGTTTAATTGTTTGATCAATCTTGTATACTTATATCTGGTAATCTGAGCAACTACTTTGAAGATAATAAGTAATACAACAACCATTGTAGGTTTTCTATTATCTTGTTTTGAAATTCTGTATTCTTTTTATAGTTTTTGTGTTGTTTTGTTTTTGTCTTTGTTTTTGTTATTTTGTTTTTGTTCTTTTCTCTTTAAAATGAAATATAAAAGGAAAAAAAAAGAAAAAAGTGACACAGATCAGAAATTGAGAAATTATCAGTAACATTTAAGAGTTAAACCTAAGTAATAACGGCTAAAATACTATAATTGGTATGACTGAATGAGTCTTCTCTGCATTAATTTATAAAGAACACATACAGCACTCTAGATGGTTAGGCAGAAGGACAGAAAAGCTCAGCTGACAAACTTAGCAAGACCCTGTCTCAAAATAAAAAAGTGGGGAGGGGAGCTAGGGATGAAGCTCAGGGCAAAGGCCCTAGTTTCAATACCTACTACTTGGAGATAGATAGATAGACAGACAAACAGATTTCATAAAAAAATATAGTCTATGTGTACTAATGTAGGTGGATCTCTCAAACATACCACTGAGTGACAAAAGCAATGAAAACGTTGGCACTCTGTATATAAAAAAGAACTCTCCTGAACAACACTATAATTTTTATATATATTTAAATGCATTTTAAAAAGACTAGATGAATAAACAATGTGTGACTATAGTTGTTTCTTGAAAACTAGGGAAAGACTGACATGGAAAAGTCTTTTTTATTTTAAAGAGAGTAGTAAAAGGGAAAAAAAGAACAATAGCAGCATACCAACATCACAAATATAAAGAAAACAAAGCAAGAACATTAAAAGTAATACAGGGTTTCAAAACAAAATCATAGGAATTAACAGTGGTTTGTTATATTACAAATTGTTATCTTCAACTACGTTGCTCAGATTACCAGATGTAAGAATGGAAGATTGTTTAAACCATTAAAGAGAATAAAAAAATAATTATTAGATAAAACATTAGAGATAATACAGAGTTTCACTAGAAAGATGGTAGGAATTCACCAATGGTTGTTCCATTCTCTATTGTTGTCTTCAAATCAGTTGCTCAGATTACCAGATACAAGCATGTAAAATTGGTCAGAATATAAAAGAATTTAAGCATTAACTGTTCCTTTCAATATACCATCAGACATCAGCAGTACAGTTATCCCAGCTATACATATATTTTTGGGGGGCGGGGGAGCTGGAAAAGTCTTTTCCTCAGATGACAATCATAGTTCTTCCGCAATAGGCAAGATCTAAGATTTGGTTTCCTAAGACTTTATTGTTTCTGTCGGACTTTTTCATTCATCTGGAACTAAATGTTGTAGCTGAAGTACTTTTTTTCTGGGATTCAGGAATGCCCAACCTGTGGGATGCCTGGCTTGCCTGGGCCGCGCTGAGTAAAGAAGAATTGTCTTGGTCCACATATAAAACATATAATAATTAAATGCAAGTAACAAAACTTCTTTTAAATATACTTTTCTTATAACACAAGCCCGTCCCACACAGTGTTGTATACATTATATAACATTAAGTTTCTATTTGTACTGGGTTCTGTGCCAATCTATTCCTACGTCACAGTTACCACAATGTTTGAAAAAAGGTGATTCCAGTATGTTTAATAATGTGAGGCATATCACGTTCTTATTCCTATTTTCTTCTTACCTATTCACATTCTATACAGACGTTAAGATTACATTTCCAATTAAACTTAGAAAAGAATCACTGGAGGTCAGGTGTAGGTCCTTTTCCTAGCAGTGTCTTTCATAGAGTAAAATATTTTAATTTTGATGAGGTCAAATTTACCATTTTTTCCAGTTATGGACCATGCTTTTGTTGATACATCTAAAAACACATCCCCAAACAAACGTCACAATGATTTTGTTTTTTTCTAGAAATGTAAGGTTTTACTTTTAGAACTATGATCCATTTTGAGTTAATTTTCATATAACGTATGAGATTCAGGTTGAGGTTCTTTTGTAAAAATACACACGCCCAATTATTCCAGGAGCTTTTGTTGAAAAGGCCATACTTTCTATGTTCAATTGCCATTAAACTTTTTTAAGAAAATCATTTGATCGTATTTGGTACGTCTGTTTCTGAATGCTGCTGTATTCCACTGATCCCTGCTGTGTTCCACTGGTTCTTCGCCAATATCACAAATGTTTTAATTTTGATACCTTGGGAGTAAAGCCAAAATTAGTTAACACAAATCCTCCCTACCTTGTTCTCCTTTATCAAAATTATACTGGGTCTTCTGGAGTTTTTTCTGCCATTCCCTAATAATTTTATATAGTTAGTTTATGGTCTGGGAATTAAACACATACTTTACCACTGAGCTACTTTCCTAGTGTGTTTCCTTGTAACAAATGCCTTTATTTGCTTTTGGGATCACATGGTTGGGGGATTCCGAGTTGACCCTTGCTCTGCTGCCCTGAGGCAATCATTGCTCTGAAAAAGTTACTGTCATCCTGTATCAGAGAAGAAATTAGAAACTCGTATTTTCCAGGAATACAAACAGCAGCAGGAGGAGATGAAGTTATCTCTCCCACATTTGTATTGCTGTTTTCTTATCTTACTGATTTTGCTAAAACAGCCAAAATATTGAAAACAATATTGTAATAGTAATCACTGTCTTACACTGGACTTTCTTTGAAAGTTCTATTATCTCATAGCATAGACTTGTGTTTTTGTTTTCAGAAATGGTGAAACGAAATAATTTCTGCAGGGTGTGGTGATGCATGCCATAATCCCAGTACCCAGGATGCTGAGGCACGAAGATCACTGTGAGTTCAAGACTAGCCTGAATTATACTGTGAGACGTAAGGAAGTAATTTCCTTATATCCCTATCTTGCTTTTATTTTTAAATTAGAAATGGTTGCTGAATTTTATCAAACATTTTCTCATCACCTACTTATATGATTATATGGTTTGCTGACAGGTTTCCTGATGCAGGACTGTTCTTAAATTCTGGGGTTTTGTTTTGTGTTTTTTTATATGCTGAAAGCAGGGCCACATATATGCTAGGCAATCTCACTGTGCTAGACCTCAAGCATTATTTTTAAATTCTTAAAACAAAATATAGGACTGGTGATATGGGTCATAATAGGCAAGCACTCTACTTTTGAGCTACACCACCAGGCCCTCTGATTTTTCTTTTTAAGGTTCATGAATCATTTTTCATAGAACCCAAAACAGTGTAACTTCTTTACCCTACTAGTTTTATGTCCATTTTCTTATTTCTTCCTTAAAAATGTTTTTAAGTTCCCCCAACTCCCTTTTGCTGTTATTTTCCTAGTATCTTTTTTTTTTAATTTTAGAAATAAAAGGAGGAAAATACTAACAGATCGACAACGTTTTACAAAATAGCAAAGGATCAGTACAGACATTACAGAGTTACAAACAGAGTGGTAGGGAATTAACAATGCTTATTGTATTACATATTGATATCTTCAATGTAGTTTCTCATGAAAACACATATAGACATACAAAGCTAATCAACCAATGCCTCACTGACAGTTTCTTTCAGCAAGGAAATACAGGACAGTAGAACACCTGTGTTAACTATCCTGCATATACATATATACAAACTTTCTCCTTCTTTCCCTTCTCTTTTCCCATATTCCAGTTATCCTTTACCTATGAGTGCTTTCCT